GAAAGAAAGAAAGAAAGAAAGAAAGAAAGAAAGAAAGAAAGAAAGAAAGAAAGAAAGAAAGAAAGAAAGAAAGAAAAGGGAAGGGAGAGAAAGAAAGAAGAGGAAAGAGAAAGAAAGAAAAAGAAATAGGGAGAGAAAGAGAGTGTGGCCTGTGTGTGTGTGTGTGAGAGAGAGAGAGAGAGAGAGAGAAAGGAAGGAAGAGAAAGACAGAAAGAGACAAAGAAAGAGAAAGAAAGAAAAAGAAATAGGAAGGGAGAGAGAGAGAGAGAACTCTGTGCTATAATTGTTCCATTATTTATCATGTGTTAATATTTTACACTGTCCCTACACCTAGAGTGACTCTACTGCCTTTCTTTTGCCCAGGGCTACCACATATTTTTCAGGGTTTACATGCATTCAATGTCTATAGTCCAAAGCATAAATACATGTGTGTTTAACAGAGTTAAAAGAGAGTTTGGAGGTCTTCTTGTCCAAGCCCCTGCTCAGGCAGGAAAACTGAGGAGGCAAACTCTGAGTAGAGGTCCTGGGAAAGATGTCAGAATAACACTTAGAAGGGACTTTTGGAGGAACCCTATACCATTTCAGAGAAATGGCTGTCCAGTCTTTTAAAAATTTCGAGTGACTGATCACCCAGAACTTCTGGAGACAAGCAGGTCCACTGGTTAATTGTTCTCACTGTCAGAAAGTTTCTCCTTAGTTTTAGGTTGCTTCTCTCTTTGTTCAGTTTCCATCCATTGCTTCTTGTTTGCCTCCTGGTGCTTTGGAAAAATACATTTCACTCCCTTTCTTTGTGGCAGCCCCTTAAAAGCCTGTTGCCTATCACACTCTTGAGTAAAGCATGTGAGCCATTTCCTCCTTTCAGTGGTCCATGAAAGTACATCTATAGTATGCAGATAATAAAGTCAAAAAAGGTGAACAACATTTTTACAGAACTATAGATAAGTTGAGGCTGGGTGACAAGGAATGGCTGGGAGGGGAGGGGCCAGGTGAGGCACCCCTTGATGTGAGTGACATTGAGTTGGCCACACCCACCCAGTCACATGACCACCAAGCCATGACCACCCAGTCACATGACCACCAAGCCACGCCCACCAAATAAGCCATGCCCACAGAACCGGTAGTAAAAAAATTTGAATTCCACCACTGCTGTTGTGTAGTATCACTGTCAGTGCAATCATTATCTAAGGAAATGTGCTACAAGAGGCACTATTAACTCCATTCCATTATGCAGGGTTAGGATTAGGAAGGATCCTGCTTCCTCTTGCTGTCTGTGTACTGCAAAACTTCTTCTGCACCCTATTTCTTTAAACTTACAGGTGGAAGAACAGCCAGAGGAGGGGATTGTGAAGAGAAAAATTGCCCATCTACTTGTTCATCCTCAATTAAAACTCCCAATCCTACTTTTTTCAATGAAAAAAATAACTAACCTAAAGACTATTAGTAGCTTAGAGTTCAGAGACCATTGTTCTTGAAAGAAAATAAAAGGCTTGGTACATATAGTTCTGTCTTAAATGTTAAGCAGCAGGTCAATTCGCATACTGATTTTATACACCAAATCATTTATATCTAATCTTATAAGATTTATAGAAAAGATGAAAACAATTGGATACTGTATGATACCTGGACACAAAACATAACACAGTCATAATTATGTGGTTATGATTCAAAGAGAATATATTTCAGACAAACATATTAAATTAGACATTTTAAATTTCAAACATTCAGAAGTTCAAACATTGCATTGTACCTTTTCCTCCTCCTTACAGTTCAGTGAATTTGGTGGGTGTCGGATCCTCTTCTAAATATTATCTGGACATCCTGCACTTAAAACAAAATACTTTAGCCCCTTTTCCCTGGGCAGCAACATTTGTATACTTCCATCAAGGTCATCTTCCTTATTTTCTGCAGTGAGACTGGTCCATCTTCCATTCTCCCAAGGAAAGACAGAATCCTCTAGCTTTATGTTATTCTTCTAAGAAGTGGCCTTATAAAAATTAGTTTGACCTTTTAGTTTCCAGAAAGGCAGGTTGGGTTGTGTAAGCCTTATCTTTCTCTCACCGGATCAGACTAGATGCCCTGGGAAGATAGGTGATGATAGCAGGAACTACCAGGAGGTAAAGGTCGGGGGTGAGCACTCAGACGGATTCTGGGCAAACTGGTTTGAAACATTGATCTTCTGCCTTATGACCTTAGCCACCCAAAGCTAAACGGCTTTGCCCATTACTTGAGTTGAAGCACTATATACCCATCCTTGAATCAGCAGAAAACTATGCTAGAATGGAAAGGATTCAGCTCCGGGGACCTAGAGGTGGAGCTCTCGCCTCACAATCAGGAGGCTGTGAGTTCGATCCGAGGTAGAGGCTAATGTTTGGAATAGACTCTCCTGCTCGAGCAGCGGGTTGGACTAGATGACCTCCAAGGTCCCTTCCAACTCTGTTAATCTATGAAAGCACTATCTCCATTGTCCATTCCTGCTTCCACTCCTTGCAGTTACCGACCAGAAGACAAAACCTAGTACCTTTTGTGCACCTTGAAGCTTCCCTTGGATTGTGTAGAATGGCGGGGGAGGGAGGGGAGGGGAGGGGCGGCATACTACTTTACATCATTGCAGTTAAAAATAAGTTAAGCTTGTCTCATTCATGCCCTGGGGATGAGATGAAGGCAATTTCACAGGTGGAATTAAAAAGGTGACACCACACACATTGGAGCCAATGTTAAGTGTAAGTAAATAATAAAATTGCTTGATTTAGTTCTAGCCGATACCCTCCTTTGGCACCTAGCCTTTCACTAAGTTCACTATCATTTCACTAATAGCATTTCACTAATAGAAAGGTTAATTGATTTTCTTTATAACTGTTAGATCGGGTACAAAAGAAACGCGAGACCAGTGCACTTCAAGCTCTTTATTTTATGTTAAGATCTGTACAAGATCTTGGAGCCACAGCAGCCCTTCATATAGGGATTGCTCGCAGCTTGTCGGCCAATGACAGCACTTTGAATCTCCCGCAATCGGCTCGTCCAATCGCGGTTGATTCTAAGTGAGCCAATCACAGTTGTTGAGTCGGCCAATCAAAATGTAGTTCGTATGGACCAATCAGAATGTACCTTTTGGAGTATGTTAATACAGAACAATAACTTCCAGGGATGATCTTGGTAAGATGACCTATTCCACGATGTGCATAAAAGGGAGTCTCCGTGTATACTCCCCAGTTCCAACGGTGTCCCGAAAGCTCAGCAAACCTGTTACTTTCTTTGACGGACGCACTTTGCCTGAAGGTTTGCAATTTCTTTATTAAGAACAAAATGTTACTTTCATTCCATTTTGTGCTGCTCCATGTTGGATAACGTCTAAGCTTTGAATTTAAATACAGCTGGAAAAAGGTAAAACCACAGTAATAACGATAAAATGTTTGACACACTCTGATTTGGGTGAAACCCTCCATTCCAATCATTCCCTTTGCTTTCTAGGAGATACAGTTAAGGCATTTTAATTCATTCCTACTGTATACCGTAGTACAATGCAAAGCAGCCTGATAGTTAATACCCTGTTTCTCCAACAATATGGCCTCCCCCAATAGGAAGTCCCAGCATGTTTTATAGGCATGGAATGAAATTAAGCCCCTCCACCCAAATTAAGGCCTATATTAAAACATGCAAAATGGGGGGGGGGGGGAATGGGGGGGGGCTTGCCATTAGGAAGTACTTTTGTTGCACACCTGGATATGATGCTGCCTGCGTTGACCCCAATACGAAGTGCCCCACCAACGCCGAGGTCAACATCCAAGCCGTCGCCGCCCGCCCACCCAAAGATGCAAGGGGGGGGGAATTAAGTCACCCCCAAAAAGACGGCCTAGCCATTTTTTCAGGGCTCAAAAAAAAAATAAGACCCGGCCTTATTATATGAGAAACACGGTATTTAGAATTCACTTGAGTGTAATCTTTGGGGGGGGGGGGAAGTGCAAAGAAGAGCAACTAAGAGGATTAAAGGCCTGGAGACAAAAACATATGAAGAACGGTTGCAGGGTTTGGGTTTGGCTAGTCTGTAGAAAAGAAGGTCTAGGGCAGGGGTGTCCAACCTTGGCAACTTTAAGACTTGTGGACTTCAACTCCCAGAATTCCTCAGCCAGCTTTTCTGGGAGTTGAAGTGCACAAGTCTTAAAGTTGCCAAGGTTGGACACCCCTGGTCTAGGGGGACATGATAGCAGTATTCCAGCATTTGAGAGGGTGCCACAAATAGGAGGGGGGTCAACTTATTTTTCAAAACACCAGAGGGCAGGACAAGAAACAATGGAAACAATGGAACTGGAGGAGAGAAGCAACTTGGAATTAAATATAAACCTCCTAACAGTGAGAACAATTAACCAGTGAAACAACTTGCCATCAGAAGTTGTGGGTGCTTCATCACTGGAGGTTTTTAAGAAAAGACTGGACAGTCACATGCCTAAAATGGTATAGGATCTCCTGGCTGAGCAGGAGGTTGGACTAGAAGACCTCAAAGGTCCCTTTCAGCTCTATTCTGATTGCCTATTTAAACCTCACCAAAATACTCCAAAATTGCACCAAGATTTCTGAAATTATATACATTAAACATTGCATTATGTCTATAAAATTATACTCTATCTAAAAGTACATCTATCTAAAAAGTTACTCTAGTTAGAGTAAGCGATTGCCATTATAACAGAATTATTAAACGCTAGCGTCAACCATCTGAATTAATTGAAATTGTAGGATCTTTTTCCAAGAACTTAAGTCAATTGTTCAGGCATTAGACATTTACTAATTGGAAGCTTGCAAAGCAAACTGCCAAGTCATAGCAACCTTGCCCGATTTCTATAAAACTAAGGAAAGTAAAATCTTGGATGAGAGATTATTGGGAAATTTTGGGCTGTAATTTGACAAAACATCCTAGAGCAAGACAGTGAGTGACAAACCATGACTTTATTGTTACCAAGTAACTGTATGAATGTTCTAGCACTTAACTTTGATTTTTCACCGTTATATAGTTATGGGTCTGATAATTCAACATTATCTGGGTTTCTTTTCTACAGAATACTTAGACCCTGCGTAATAGACTGCGTAATGGCAACATCACAGTTATACCAAAGGCCAAGATAAAGTATTGCCCAGTTGTATCTGGAATGAAATTGGATATAGTTAAGAGTGATTTGGATACTTAACTGGGATCAGGACCACCCCTCTTCCTGTTGTCAAATGTGAAATTCTTTTTCATCTTCAAACTAGTTATTGAATGTATAGGTGTTTAAACTTTTATATGTAGGATTACGTATTTATCATAACACAAGAGAAATCCGTTGCACAGATAATAAATTAATAAAAATTTAAGCAGTTTGCTTCACAGTGTCTATGAACATTTTCTTTGAAAAATGTAAATGGCAAACTTCTCTGGCTGCATAAACAGGCTGCAGAATTTTTCTCTTCATGTCTTTTGATCTTGTTTCAACCACTGACAATATTTTAATTGCTGTCTTCTTTGGTTCTGTGTTTTATAGACATTATAGTTGCAGTTGACATTCATTCTCTTCATAAAAACCCCAGCATTTGGCCAGAGCCTTGGTAAGTAGTTTCCCCCCCACCCCCCCAAATGATAACAGTGATAAAGGGGACTAACTGTTATAAATAAAATTTGTCACACTTTATGGAGACTTGTATAAGTATACAGATTCTCTATAGTGGAGATAATCCCCATTTATCAACTTTAGGACATTGTATTGACTCACTATATGTTCAGAGCAAAGTGTAAAGTGATTCTGAGATGCTTCAATAGCTTTATAATAGCACAAGTACTATAATGAGAAAAAGGGTTGTAAGCATAGTAGATTCACCTCCCCACCCCTCCAATTTTCATTTTTTTTCTTATTCCAGGAGTATGATCCTATGAGGTTTTCACCAGAGAACGCCTCCAAAAGACATTCTCTTGCATTTATTCCTTTTGCAGCTGGATCAAGGTGAGTCTACGGTCTATTTGTTAGACCATTGGTTTAAAAATGAACATCCCTGTCAGTGTTCTCTTCCTTGGCAACTTGTTTGGAGAAGCTGGATGCAAATTCTGAAAGTTGAAGTCCACACAAGTTGCCAAGGGTGAAAAATGCTGCTCTATGCCCATCCCAAGCATTGTTATTTGATGTCTTTTTAGAGTCTTATGAAATGTTCTCACAGCTAAGAATGACAGGCTGATATGTTAAAGGAGAAAGGTAATCATGCCCCCGCCCCGCCAAAGCTGTGCAATTGACGCAGCTGTTTTTCTTAAATTAAATGTAAAAATGTTTTCCTAGTTAGAAAGAAAACCCTGTACCTGCAGTTGTATATTTTAGCACCCTACACTGTATATAGAACCTTTTCCAGATAGAAAAGCCCAGCCAAAGGTGAAAACTGGGCACAATTCAACTATGCTACTCAGTCCCTGATTATAATTTCCTACGGTGCTTTCCTGCTTAGTTACCAATTAAATGCAGCCCCTGCAGATTAAGTGCTTCTATTGAAATATTTCATGCATCACACCAGTGGTGGGATTCAAAAATTTTTACTACCAGTTCTGTGGGCATGGCTTGGTGGGCATGGCTTGGTGGGTGTGCAGGAGAAAGTTATTGAAAAATCCCATTCCCTCCCCACCCCACTAACCTGCTTTCCAGCTCCTGTTCTCCTGTGCAGGACAACAAAAGAAGACCCAGCCGATCAGCTGGGACTTGGGAGGCAGAGAATAGATGGGGGCAGGGCCAGTCACAGGTGGTATTTCTCCGAACTACTCAAAATTTCCGCTACTGGTTCTCCACAACTTGTCAGAACCTGCTGAATACCATCTCTGATTCACACCCTGATTTAATTGATTCAATACATTGTCCTCACCTGTTCAGTTTTTAAGATACCTATAAATGTTTGCACTTGTCAGTACACTCGTTTATTTTGCATGCTTACTAACTGATATGTAACTGAGTAGGAAAAAACAAAACCCACCCTACCTTGTTCTGAATGTCAGAATGTCTGAATGTCTTTTTATATTGAGTATAACACAAGGGGCTTTTTTTCTTTCTTTTCTTGTTAGGAATTGCATCAGACAGCAATTTGCCATGAATGAACTAAAAATAGCACTTGCTCTGATACTGCTTCGCTTTGAATTAATACCCGACCCAGAAAAACTCCGATTCCAATCCCCCAGGTTGTCCTCAAATCTGAAAATGGAATACACCTCATTTTAAAGAAACTCAACTGATATGAAAAATTATTGCAGGAGTTGATACCAAGAAGGCTGTAAGACGAAGATGGGGCATTAGAAACCATGCAAACCCACCAGAAGCATGATGCATGGTACAGCTTTATAAATCGTTATATTAGATTAGAATTCTTTATTGGCCAAGAGTGATTGGACACACAAGGAATTTGTCTTGGTGCAAATGTTCTCAGTATACATAAAAGAAAAGATACATTCATCAAGAGTCAAGAATCATAAGGTACAACACAATAACAGTCATCGGGTACAATAAGCAATCAAATCATACTAGGAAACAGTCAATATAGATCGTAAGGATACAAGTGACAAAGTTACAGTCATACAGTCACAAGTGGGAGGGGATGGGTGATAAGGAGTGATGAGAAGATTAACAGTAATAGTAGTGCAGACTTTGTAAATAGTTGGATAGTGTTGAGGGAATTATTTGTTTAGCAGAGTGATAGCGTTCGGGGAAAAACTGTTCTTGTGTTTAGTTGTCCTGGTGTGCAGTGCTCTATAGCATCGTTTTGAGGGAAGGAGTTAAAACAGTTTATGTCCAGGATGTGAGAGGTCTGTAAATATTTTCACAGCCCTCTTTTTGACTCGTGCAGTATACAGGTCTTTGATGGAAGGGAGGTTGGTAGTAATTGTTTTTTCTGCAGTCCAAATTATCCTCTGAAGTATGTTTCTGTCCTGTTGGGTTGCAGAACCAAACCAGACAGTTATAGAGGTGCAGATGATAGACTCAATAATTCCTCTGTAGAAGTGCATCAGCAGCTCCTTGGGCAGTTTGAACTTTCTGAGTTGGCACAGAAAGAACATTCTTTGTTGTGCTTTTTTGATGATGTTTTTGATGTTAGGTGTCCATTTTAGGTCATGTGATATAGTAAAATCTAGAAATTTGAAGGTCTCTACTGTTGATACTGTGTTGTCTAGTATTGTAAGAGGTAGTAGTATGGGAGGGTTTCTCCTAAGTCTACCACCATTTCTACAGTTTTGAGTGTGTTCAATTCCAGATTGTTCTGGTTACACCATGAGGCAAGTTGTATAACCTCCTGTCTGTATACATATCATAATAAATCTCTCCACTTCGCCCAAAACAATTCTCATTTTTAACTTTAATTCCTTGTAAATTCTTAAAAACTCAGCCTTCACTATTTGTCATATGAATGCATCACAGCCTAACTGTCAGGGAGTCATGGAATTCCCCTATCTCAGAATTTGGCAACTCCAAATTTCAACTAACAAATGCTCTGTCCTACACACTGGCAATAAAAATCAGAATACCAAATACAAGTTAGGCGGAAACGATCTCATAGATCAAGGACCTAGGAGTACTTATCTCAAACAATCTAAGCCCCAGAGCTCACTGTAACAGCATTGCCAAAAAGGCATTAAGAGTTGTTAACCTTATTTTGCGAAACTGCTTATCCAGTAACATTGTATTGCTAACTAGGGGATACAAAACCTTTGTCAGACCAATTCTTGAATACAGCTGGTCTGCCTGGAACCCACACTGTATATTGGACATTAACATGATTGAGCGGGTTCAGAAGTTTTTCTTGAGAAAAGTACTCCACTTCTCTACTCACAATAGAATTCCCTATGTCTCCAGACTTGAAATTTTGGGCTTGGACAATCTGGAACTCCTCCACCTACAGTCCAATCTAAGCATAGTACACAAAATTGTCTGCTACAATGTCTTGCCTGTCAATGACTTCTTCAGCTTTAACCACAATAATACACAAGCAAACAATTGATACAACTCAAGGTAAACTGCTTCAAACTCGATTGCAGAAAATATGACTTCAGCAGCAGAGTGGTCAATGCCTGGAATGGCCTACAAGACTCTGTTGTTATAGCCTCAAACTCTCACAGCTTCAACCTCAAACTGTCTACTGTGGATGTGCTGGTTAAACAGTATATACTTAGTTTGGGAATGAGAGCTGTCCCCTTAAGGGAATGCCTCATGGGAAATGTAGTTAATGCCTCATGGAAGATGTAGTTCATGTCATGTGGCGACATCTGTACTCCTGATTGGTCACTGAATTGACCTCTGGTTGGGTTGGAGGGAGTTTTATTCATTCTTACTTGGACCCCAGCAACGTGCTGGAGTCTTCCTTTGCTGTATCATTATGTGATGAAGATAACTATCTTTTCACACTATGAAGATGACAATGCAAAGATTGGACATTAGATGAATCTCAGCATAACTGTGAGTTATACCTTGAGGATGCCTGATATAATCCAATAAAGAAACTTTGTATGGAAGCTTTTGTAGTGTTTAGCTCTTTATCTCAGGTATTTTGGAAAGATAAATATTACCTGAGACAAGATAGTGGACCTCACCTCATTCTTAAGAGGTCCTTAAAGGGGGCGTGCATAAGTGCACCAGTGTACCTACCATCCCTGTCTTACTGTTCCCATTTATCTGTATTTACTTCCTTTGTTCATGTTTATGTTCATACCTATACTATCTTGTACATGTTTGACAAACAAATAAAACACATAAAGGAAATAGAATGTAAAATATTGCCTGGAAAACTCTACTACTAACTTACACCTTAATATTTCATACAATAATTGTCTAACAGTGGCTTAATTGTAGAACCTAAACCTTTAATCTCAAATTGTTCCATGCCTATGATTTCCATATGCATTCAGAAGATGACTGCACTTCTTCTGTCCATTGCTGCTCCAAGTATACAGGACTGATTGACCAATTGAAAAGACGAGAGTTATTGGGCTTCACAATATTTTTTTGTTTCTTTCTACAACTTTGTCTCTGCAAAAAGTATAGCAGTTGAACATATAAGAGCAATACAACAATGAAAGTAAGCATCTATGTGCAGCAACAGGGAAAAATAAACTAAATATACGGTACATAATATAGGGCAGCTGCCAGATGTATAACATCTCTTACGCTTCACTGCCTATTAAACTGGATGCCAAGCTAGATAACAAGCACATAGTAGATCAGAGATCAGAGTTCTTACTGAGTTGTAGGCTGATATAAACCTCCCTCCCTTCACTCCCCCAGTCTCTTGTCTACTATTTCTCTCTAAAGAGCCAGCAGTGGAATTGTAATAACATCTGCTTGTGGTAGCTTGAAATGGCATGTCGGAGAAGTGGTGTAATCCTGGAATGTTGTGAGCAACACCCGTCCTGCTCAGTTCTTGGAGGAAATTGAAGCTGGTGTTTGTTACCAGTGGGCAAGGGGAAGAGGAGGAAGGTGCTGCTTTTGGAGCCAACTTCCATTGCAATTCCAATCTCTCCCTTTTTAATTCATCTGGGTTTTGCAGAACAATGCCCAACATGAGGTACAGAACTGGAATAGGACAGATTGTA